AGCGAGTGTTACTCTGTGTACACGGTGTGTAGCGAGTGTTACTCTGTGTACACGGTGTGTAGCGAGTGTTACTCTGTGTACACGGTGTGTAGCGAGTGTTACTCTGTGTACACGGTGTGTGGCGAGTGTTACTCTGTGTACACGGTGTGTGGCGAGTGTTACTCTGTGTACACGGTGTGTGGCGAGTGTTACTCTGTGTACACGGTGTGTGGCGAGTGTTACTCTGTGTACACAATGTGTGGCAACTGGCAAATGTTACTCTGTGTACACGGTGTGTGGCAACTGGCAAGTGTTACTCTGTGTACATGGTGTGTGGCAACTGGCAAGTGTTACTCTGTGTACACGGTGTGTGGCGACTGGCGAGTGTTACTCTGTGTACATGGAAGTGCTGCCGGCTTATTAGTTGTAATAACGCATTATCCGCTGGGAGGCGACAGAAGTTATGCACTATAGCTTTAAGCTAGAAAAAATATTCAAATGTCAAACTGTGTAGTTCTTTAATGATGTTTATGCTTCTGTTCATTTATTTCTACTTTTTAAAGTATGACTTACTGCCACTACTACTAATACTACAGCTACTGCTGGTTTTACTGCTACTATTAGTAGTACGGCTACTACAACTACTTCTACACCCTTGCAGGAAATAGTTCAGATATCAAAACCTTCAGCTCTGTTAGGATTTTCGTAAGTTTCTGGTTTCTCATTTTGACATTTCTACATTTCCAGCATTTCAGCATTTTATTTCATTTCAGCAACCACATGCATTTTCCATAGGAAATGCATTTTCTAGTTTCTGTATAGTAGTGTAGTTTCTGATGATGTAGCCTACGTTAATGTTCCACAGAAAAACATCTGTACGTTCTTATGTGACATTTAACCTTCACATGTCAGGTCAGATTTAGACACTAATAAAACTTCTTACGGAGGTAAAGTCCTGCCTAGAAACACACTGATGTCTCTGTAAATAACACACACACATCATGACAGAAAACAGATTTATAGAAAATCCCTTTAAACATGTTAGTGTGACTGAAATCTAGAGTGAATTTGTCACAGTGGGACTAATACACCCAGATAATGTGACCCAAACTGGCCGGCGCACTCTGAGCATGCTCCACAGTTTCTGCCCAGGCACCAATAGCATTAAATGTAACTGAGCTTGACTGAACTGTTTCCATGGAAACGTTCTGAGAGTCACAGCTGTAACGCAGCGACTGGTTACTGAAAACAACCAGTTCAGGTGTTTGTTGGTGTTTAACAATCGCCTGCAGCTCGACAGGTGTCTCACCCTCCACCCTCTGCTCTACCTCCTGATGATGTCAGTTCAAATATGACGTCATTTTACAGACGTGACATGTTCCTCCGGCAGACTATAAATACTTTCACAGAGACCAGGACACACAGACAGACGCACGACACACGAAGACATGATAAATCAATTCAGATGTAAATAAACAAACAAACACTGTGTAGACATAAATGCATCTGGCATGATTTACTATAATGACATTTACAGGCTGCCGTAGTTTAATGATGATGTCACTGATCAACAACATTACACACAATAACTGATCCAGTCTGATTGGTGTGTGTGTGTGTGTGTGTGTGTGTGTGTGTGTGTGTGTGTGTGTGTGTGTGTTGATGCCTGCAGCCCTCCACTCTGGATGGGATGGGATGTCGTATGCTGTAAAGCCCTGTGAGGCAAATTGTGATTTGTGGTATTGGGCTTTATAAATAAAATTGATTGAAATTGATTGATCCACATCAGGACCTCCAGGACCATAAGGACCTCCAGGACCTGATCCTGGAAACAGACACCTGGTAAAAGTTCATTCCTGCTGCTGCAGGAAAAACATCTTTGACATGTCACATCAGAGGAATTGAAACGTCCTCAGACCCTGGAAACTCCTGGAACTTTGTTCTGAAGAACTCCTGGAACCTCGTCCTTGACTTCAGTCGGCCTCCAGGAAAACACTCTTGAAGGATTCCTGGAATGTCCTGAAGGACACTCAGCAGCTCCTTCAGGACTGATAGAAGCACGTCAGTGATCACTGAATGGCCTGAAGACTCAGAGGTCCTTGAGTCTTTAAAAAAAAAAATGTTTAATTAACAGTTAACTTGTCTCTGAGACAGAAAATAAAGTATTGATAATATTTGTCACGTCCACACAGGCTGAATTTATATGAAACTGTCCGACACACAGACAGGAAGTGACACTTTGAATTTAAACCTGTTTACTTTGATCCTGTGATGTAATGTCATTAAATACCAATAAAAACTGTTAAATATCAGTGACTGTGGAGACAGATTTGTCTCAGTATTATTCATATGAACAGTGTGTTTTACTGTATAATCTGTAAATATAAAATAACTTCCACAAATATAAATAAAGAAAAGTTTTAAACTCATAAAAATATTAACAAATATAAAACAGATCTACAAAAAAAAACTGTTAATACATTTCATTAATTTACAAAAACAAAATAAAAAAAAACATTAGTGAATATTTTCCTCACACTAATAACTTTCAAACAGATGTTTGTGAATTCAGTTTTTATGTACTATAGATCTTTGTGCCTGTGGATATTCATTTTTGGCACTCTGAGTCTTTTTTTTTTGTATTTGTGGAAGGTGTTTTATATGAACACATGAACATATGAAAACATGAACACATTTAAATAACACATGTGACATGAGATGTTTACACAGTGAGGACACTGTGACTGTAGTCTACTGATCATCAGGGAAATAAAACATGGCAGGGAAATAAAACTTTAAATCTTGATGTTTCTGTGAGTATCGATCCTGTGATTTAAATCAACTAAACACCAATAAAAACCTGTTAAATATCGATTAGTTTGACTGCAGTGATCAATCAGTGAAATTGAATTACAGTAGGCCTAACGGCCGGACGCCGGTGGGCGGGAACACGGGGAGAGCAGGAGAGCTATGATTGGCTGAGAGCGCTGCGGAGGCGGGAAGGTTTGGGAGGAGTTTAGCTATGATTGGCTGAGGGCGGTGACGTCGCGGTGATGATCAGCCGGTTAATGAGCGGCCGGTTCGTTAGGTTGAACAGAGACGGAGATGCTGTTGGTGTGACCGGCGGCGGATGAACCGGAGTGTGTTGGTGTGAAACAGAGAAGACGGTCAGTGAGTCTCCGGTGGTCGCTCCGGTCCTCAGCGGTCAGTCTGAAACTTTTACCCGGATCATGGTTCAACACACGGAACATGGCGGACCGAGGATTCACAGCGGGTCCCGGGAGGCGGCGGACACGGAGGACAGCGAGCTGCTGGCGGCCTCGGTGTGCGGCCCCGTGCCGCAGAAGGCGGACTGGTGTAAAACGGCCTCCGGTCACATTAAACGGCCGATGAACGCCTTCATGGTCTGGTCTAAGATCGAGAGGCGGAAGATCATGGAGCAGTCACCGGACATGCACAACGCCGAGATCTCCAAACGGCTCGGGAAGCGGTGGAAGATGTTAAAGGACACCGAGAAGATCCCGTTCATCCGGGAAGCGGAGCGGCTCCGGCTCAAGCACATGGCGGACTACCCGGACTACAAGTACCGGCCCAAGAAAAAGCCCAAGACGGACGGCTGCGCGTTTCCTACCGGGAAACTAGCGGCTCAGTCCCCGGAGAAAACCTCCGTCAGGCCGGTTTATAAGAAGAATCTCTCCAAGTTGAAACCCAGTAAACCGGTAACGGGTTCGGGCCGAGCCATCAGCCTCCTCCCGCAACACCAGCACCCGGACCACCGGTACCGGTACGTGTTAACCACCAGCTTCAAACCCAACAAGTTCGGTAAACGGGACTTTACCGACGACGAGGAGGAAGAGGACGATGATGATGAAGATGATGATGAAGGCGACTCGGAGGAGGAGCGGGGGTTTAAACTGGAGGAGGAGGACGAGCCGTCCCGGTACAGCCTGGGTCTGAGCTCCGCCGCTGCCGAACCGGAGGGAACCGGCATGTACGAGTCGTCCGGTCGGCTTTTCTACAGCTTTAAGAACATCACCCGGCAGGGCACCGGGACCGGCACCGGGACCGGGAGCGGCTCCTACCCGGCCTCCCTCTCACCCGCATCCTCGTCCCGGTCCTCCTCCTCCTGCTGCGGGGAGGACCTGGACGACCTCCCGGCGGAGGGCACCGACTTCACCCTCAGCCTCCTGGCCGGCCTGCACGCCTCCTCTGAGCCGTGGAGCTCATCGTCCAGCTCGGCCCCGGGGAACCTGGGTCTGTCCCTGGTGGACCTGGACCTGGACTCCTGCGGGTCTGAGCGCACCCTCGGGTCCCACTTCGACTTCCCGGATCACTGCACCCCGGAGCTCAGCGAGATGATCGCCGGAAACTGGCTGGAGGTCAACTTCTCTGACCTGGTGTTCACCTACTGACCCCCCGAGATGGACTCCAGGCCCGGGAGGGTCCTCATCCTTCAGCCGGCTCATGAGCCCCGGAGCCGATCAGGGAGCGACAGGGTGACGGGCCTGCTGCTGCTCGGGATCAGTGTGCGGGGAGCGGCTGGAAACACACACACACACACACACACACACACACACACACACACACACACACTGTGGTGCAGGAAACCACCTCAGCAGGTTTTATGGATTCAGTTTTTGTTTTGCGGATCAGAAACTGATCCGGTCTATGCAGACTGACCTCTAATGACCTCAGATATCAGGACGGACACCGCCGTCCTTCCAGCTCCACCTGGACTCCTCTTAGACTCACCTGCACCCCTTTTGGACTCCTCCTGTAGGACTGTTTTATGTGACTCAGTTTTTTATTTGCTGTCTGATGTTAAGCTCCGCCTCCTTCGGGAGGAAACAGGAAACCTTATTTTGATAAGAACACACATACCTCATCTTTTTTAAGGAGTAAAGATATTTTCAGGATTATTTTTGTACAGTCGGATTTTCAGGCACTTGTTGTGAATATAATAAGTAATCTGAGTTATGAACATGTGACTGACCTGCTGTTGTTTTAAACGTGTTCAGACA